CATCGTGTTCGACGCGCCTACGTTCGAGGCTGGGCGAGCCGCTGAAATTGCGCTTCAAGTGCGCCTGCTCCGTCCGTCGCACCTAACCGGCGAACAGAACTAATTTAAGAAATCCTATGTCGTGCCTGTCGGTTTGCGCCAGTTCACAGGTTAAAATAGATGCGTGAAAGTCGTCGGGCGCCGCGGCTAGCCAGGCCCGAGGGTTTTCCGAAGTGTCTCTCAGTCGGAGACAATCGTTCGCGGGGATCGTCGTCGTCGTCTACCCGTACGGTGGATTGTCGTCGCGAATTCTCGGATCGAGATCCAAGTCGGCTCGCGCGAATTATTCTCGACAGATATATAGGGTCTCCGCCTCGCGGTTCATCGTGTTCGACGCGCCTACGTTCGAGGACGAATCGCCATATGTTCGCCGACGACGTCTCGTCGTATCGATGAGATTGTCGACGAGAGAAACATGCGATCCTCGTTGCGCTTTCGTGTCGCATCTACGCCACGTTTTTGGCAGGGATTTGGCAGGTTTATAAATAAATACTGAATCAGTGCCGCGGACGCAAGCGACAGAAACTCGAGCCTCTTATCCGTCGTCGAAGATGTGAGAGTGCACGTGCGCGCGGACACATGCAAAACATGAGCGACCGAAGAGCGAACGGCGGCGGCAGCCGTGCCAGCAGCAGCACGAGATCCAAAAGTCGTAATCGACGAGGATCCCGAGATCACGGTACATGAGAATCTGCGATCGACGACGCGGGATACACGTCAGATGAGAATCTCGGATCAAAATCCCACTTGCAATGAAACGCAACTTTAATTAATCGTTAGACTCTCCCAGTCTCTTCCCAATGGCGGGGTAGAAAGAAACTTTTTCGTTCTTTTTTCTCAAGTCTTTTATTACCACAATTTATACAGTGGTACAGTAATCGAACAATATATACATTTGTTGAAATTACGCGTGTAGTTCTTTTAGCTGTTTTGATATTTCCACGTTCGCTGGCCATGTATTACTTTTATCATACGTGTTCTCTTTTTTTTTTCTAGGTAAAGCTATGCAGAAGCAAAAGAGCAAAAATAAATTGAAACCTCGCGAGCTGAACCGGAAGGGAGCGGAGAAAGAAGGTACAGATATGGATGCCTTCGTAAATAATACCGTACCGACGACGAAAACAACAGAGATTAAGCAAGACAACAAGGAGCAACATGTTCCCGCCTCGAGAGACAGTAATAAGGAGCCCGCTAGAGAGATCAGCAAAGATATCAAGGAGAAGGACAATTACGAATCTAAAAAAGAGATTCTGCCTGTTCACTCCGTAAAAGCTGAGAAACACGCGCCTGCCGAGGTGCCTAAAGAAAGCGCTCCCGTACAAACGCTCCCTCACAGTATAGACAAATTGCCGACTAGCAAAGAATCTTCCCCGAAAAAGGAAGATAACGCCAAATCGAACACACAATTCGATGATGTAGTCGACCATGCGTTTATCGAGGAGAACTCGGAACCAGTTGAACCGGTGGTCTTGGACCCATTGGTCGCGCAGAAAAATGAAGAAAACTTCAAGGCCTCGGAATTC